CCTCTGCCGTCTACTGATTCTTCTTCGGCTACCTCATCCTCCGCATCCAGTGGTACTAAACCGACAAGCACGCTTACCACTACGACCTTGCCTGTTGTTTTAGGAGCAGTGTACGTTCAATTGCGTTCCCTCCCCCTTCAAAGTGCCCGCCTTTGCCCTCCACTTCACGGCACCCATAGTTATAGTTCTGTTCCAATGGTTTAGGGCCATGACTGATGAGCACCTAGGGTTCCTATTGTGATTGCCATTGGCATTCTACTCTACTTGCACCGCAGAAACGTGAAGAAGCTCCGTAACGAAGATGCAAACGACAAACACAAATCTCTCGACTTCGGCCTGGATTTGGCGCCCACTAACGGAGCGATGCCTATGCAACAAGCAGAGAAAGCTGATCGCAACGCGGCCCACAACAAGGGCATATCGTTGGATATTGGACCTAGCCCCTATCTGCTCCCTCCCGGTCTGCACAACTCGAGGGAATCCCTGGCGTCTATGTCCAGATCTATCGGTGATGGTGACGATGATAAGTATCGACACGTCGGGTCCTTCCTCGGTGACAATGCGTCGCTCAGGTCGCACTCGAGAGGCCCCCACGACGATGCGGCAAGCTTCACAGGTTCAACCAGACGGGCCGCCCTTGGAGACGATATGAACCAGGGCCTTCTGCGGAACGCCCAACGAATGTCGCGCTCGTCGCCGCCACTTTACAATACCCAGTCTGGTGAACGTAATGCAGAGAGCCCAGCGAGCTCTGATCATGAACGCGATCATGGGTTCCAACTGGATCTGCCTAGAAGCCCGAGTCCTGTACATGTTCCCGGAATGGCCATTAGCGAGCCGCACACGACAGGCAATGAAGCCGGATTCGCTGGAGATCACGCAGTTACTGAGACTAGTGCCAAGCAGAAGCGCCTATCGCATATGCCACAGTACACAAATATGACACTTCCCAGTGATCACGGTCTCGACCACGATGTGGATTCGGCGCCGGCTCCTCAGCATCATGTCAATCTTCCACCGTTACACGACCCTCTTTCGCTTCATCTGGACCCCAGCCCGGCTCCTGTGCAAACCGCATCGATGTCAACACCCAGGATCTCGCTCCCTGTGAGTGATGCAGCTAGCGATTACGGTGATGCGCGGAGGTCTACTATCCCGGCCGTCAATGTGCAAGATGTGACGAGCGCCACAAGCTATGAAGATGGTCCTCAGCACCCCGACGTCCCTGCTGTTCTTGCCGAAGAGCCACCTCGGGGTCAAAACACAGGCCTTGATGCGAGCCGTCGTGACACGCGACGGATGACTTTCGGTCTTCGTCCTCTGCCGCCAGAGGACCCGTCTGAGGACCCTGAGCAACGTGCCAACCGTATCAGGTCTTTCTACAAGGAGTACTTCGATGAGAACAAGAACGGCCGGGAAACTATGTACCACGACTATGTGCCAGATTACTATGGTGAAGAGGCCTATGCGTACGACCCTACGATGGGTGATCAGTTCGGTGCGGTGCCGGCGCCATTCGCTGAACCAGTGACTCGTCGTGCCATGACTCCCCCACCTCGCGCACCTCCGCGCTTCCAAGGGGCAGCTCGGCATATGGCCAGGGGCTCGGACGGAGGCTTCAACAGTGGCTTTCAATCGCCTGGTCCCCGTGCATTCTCCTCCGCCTCTAACCGTATGCCGGGACCTCCCAAGCCGCGCAAGCCGGTACCCCCGCCGTCGCCGCTTCAGATCCTCCCCACACCCCATATGCTGAATGATGACTCTATCATGTCTGCCATCGAGTATGCCCCCTCCAACCACTTCAAGGATCAAAAGGAGGGCCGACCAGGAACGCCCTTGGGCGGCCTGCAACCATTTAGCCCGGCGGTGCCGGTCCATTCGCCGCTTGTTTCAGCTTTCGATGACCTTTCAGCCTTGCCTAGCGCGTAAGTCATTTGCTCTCCATTTGCATTGAGTACCATATTAACCAAGTTTCAGACACGCATTGCGCAAGTCGGGCGCTTACGACACATTGGATTTTGCACCTCCGCCTCGCTTCAAGAATGATACTGCGAGCGATGCTGGTAGTATTCGCAGCAACGGCACTGGGATTTCCTCCACCCATTTGCACAACATCCGCACTGGTGCGTATCGTGTCAGCCGTCTGCCCGCGGACACTGTAGGTACCAAGGATGACTTGATGTCGAACCTCCGTCCTAAATGGGATATGCGGCAGTAAATACCGGCATTTCTGTTTCGTTCTTTCGTCCCAGCCGTAACGATTTCCCCCTCTGCCACAGCCATCTGGTGTTTACATACCTTATCACGATCTATTCTTGTCCATTATATATTCTGTCCTAGCGGTACTTCTTTTGAGGAACCGGGTTCGATTTCGCAAATCTTCCCGATGTTCAGTGGCGTGAATACATACAAGGGGCCTTTTGTTGTTCGTCTCTGCTTTCTCTAGGCGCTCGGTCTGATCAGCCATGTTTCTCTATAACCTTCAACCTGCAAATATGATTCCTTTTTTTGGAGGCGGATCGTCGATGTCTTAATCCGACGATGCTTGTGTCCCCAGAATGCCTTCTTTTTATCAGAAAGAAAAAGAATGTGCTACTACTCTCTCTTTTTTTTTCGCCGATTCCGGTGAAAGTCTGCGTCGTAGGCCCAAGTACGTGGCTTCGAAAGTAAAGGTGCCATGCATATCCGCAACAGTGCAAGGATGACACGCGGTCTTGCGTCATCGAACGGTAGGAGGCCTGACCGACCGGGTGTTGTTACAGATTCTTGCACAAGTAGTAAGTAGCATTCTAGGATACAGGTGCATTGGGAAAAATTCCGAGACAGATATTCGTCCAACGAAGTTTGCAGGGTCATGATGTGTTTTACTGTTTATGGCGTAGTATTCAACGCCTTGTTGGGAGGCCTAAAAGTAAGTGGTAGAGACCCAATTGTTTGACCTATCCAACTTGTGTCTGTCTCGCCTTATTGTCAGATGCAACCTCGGGAGACAATACTCCTTAGTAGTAGACAGTAGGCAGGTACGTAGGGATGACAGCCGGAAGCGGCCGACCGAGGCTTCATCTAAGTAGTCAACATGATCATGACACACAGGTTAGTATCTGATGGGGTTGCAGTGGAGTAGCTAGTCTTGATAATGGTATTCTTCGATTTTTACTCTTTCCTATTTATCCAATTGGGTTGGATTTTGAAGTGTCAAATATGGATCATCATGCCTTGAATGAGGAGGTGCACAGTCAATGGTAGACGCGACCGTCCGAGTCGCTCTTATCCGCTCGGGCGATTTTTAGAGTGGAGAGAGAGAGAGAGAGAGATGCGGCATTCGCGGAAGCCACTGATGGCATACTTTTGAGTTAGTAAACATATTTAATTACCTTGCCAGAAATATCTCAAAGCATGTACAGATACTTGGTTAATCTTGGAGATGATATGTTGATAGCAAGGAAAATTACTGCCTGTATATCAGGTAGATCGATCAATGCTGCACCACCGTTCAGGGGTTAGTAGATATCTCCTAGTACGTAGTAAACTGTGGCATAGCATTGGTTTTTTTTCCTTTTTTTCCAAGACACTTGGTACCTGAGAGTTACCGATAGTGGCTCCTGCTTGGTTAGCGGTAAGAATGAAGTCCGGCACCACCAATCCGGGCCTGAGGCTGCTCGACTGTGGGAGATTGAGACCCACGGAAGGCGGCACTCAATCTGCAATCAACAATTCTTCCTCTTCGCCCGGTGGGCCACTTTGGGGGTCATCAAGTTTTGTTGCCCCCCATGGAACCGGGTCTAACTGTTGCTAAGAATAAGTAGTTCAATCTCAGGGCATGTCATGGTGGTTATGGACATTGGACATTGGAGAACTGGGTATGGAGTCTGATTTTAGCTCCATAAGGATAGTACGTAGATGAACCCTTGACACTCCAGATACTACTCCATCCATTGTTCTGGTGTCAATCGATTTCGAGGGAGGGAAGAGAGAGAATGTGATGACGGACACTTCGCTTGCTGACTCCGGCGGATGCCGATCGCAGCAATTTGGGTTGGCCAAGTGTAACTGGTACCATTACATACCACTCACTGGTTGTACGTAGGACTTTGGTCCATACCTGCTCGCTGCTCCGTACTCGTACCTGGTACTAAGAATAATTACCAGGAAGAATCAAAAACCAAGACAAAACTAAGTCAAAAGTCACCCTCAGGAGCAACTGAGCCGGTTGCAGAGGCTTGCTTCTGGCCGCAATTCGCCCATACTTCTCCGCTCTCCCGCTCGTTGAATCCATTCGTTCCGTCACTCTCTCACTCGCTCACTCGCTCACTCGCTCTTTTCCCTTCCGTTCGTTCGTTCGTTCTCTCGTTGGAGTCTTTTCCCTCAACTCCTCCCACACCCACCCCCCTCAGATGGATCTGTCCCAATGAGTGTGTTCTTTCTGCGCTCTATCTAACATGAGATCGGTGTCTGCTGTCTCATGGCATCCAGTTTAATTCCGGTGAGTTGCCACTGTGCAGTCCCTCCTCCTGAAATTTTCCTTTCCCGAGAACCCTTTTTCATAATTCCATAATTTGTTGTTTTCTTCTTTTCTGCCCGCGTTGGTCTGAGGCGACCGTGCTTATCCCCTGACCATCCGCTAGGCAGTCCATTATCAGCTTCACCACTCTACGAGCGCTACACTCTTAATCTAGTGAAGCAATTCATTTTTTAATTCCTATTGGGTATACGGTCGTACCCTATATTCTTACATATATTCGTTCTTTCGCTATCGCAACATCTTTTCGCTCTTTCGATCGCCTTCCGATCCTTCCAACGCAACCTTAACACAGACTCGTGCTTTTGCGAAACTTCGCTCAAACGTGTACGACCGGTATCTTCTCGGCTGAATACGTCCTATCCCTTTTCGTGGATCAGTCATTGACAGCTGGACTTGTGGAATCCTCAAATCCCAGTTGATCCTACTTGACTGATACCACTTGGACCCTTATCCATCTGGATCTAATTTCCATTCAAAGATGTCTTCTGGTATGGTGCTACCCCACTACAACCCCCTGCCTTGGAGTGCCCGTTTCTGTTCTTTGCTATTCATCATGAACTATGCGCCTGCGATATACTGACCTTGCTCACAGGAGCGGCTGCGGCGGCTGCAGGAGCAGCGGCAGCAACATCGGCAAACGCCGCTGGTGCAGCTACTACTACACCCACCGAGACACAAGCGGAAACCACATCCCAATCGACAACGGAAGCAACTCCTACGTCTGAGGCGACAACATCGCAAGAAACTTCCGCGGAATCAACGACATCCGTATCCACACCCTCTACAACATCAACGTCGTCGACCTCTGAATCAACGTCTTCTCCGACAACAATATCCATACCATCGACAAGTAGCACTTCCACTTCGTCGACTAGTACCACCGAGGCTCCCTCAACCACTACTTCTACTACTTCCCACACTACCGCGACTCCAGTTGTCACCGAAGTGGTTACTACGACACCAAGCAATGGATCGACCGGCGTGGAAACCCTGACGATAACATCCACCGACACAACACTCCCAACGGGAACTGCTGGTACTGTAGGAAATGGCGTGACTGCCACGGGCAGCGGATCGGCAGCAGCAGCATCGTCCACGGGTGGAAGTGGAGGTGGCAGCTCAGGGCTTTCGGCGGGCGGCACCATTGCGGTTGCGGTTGTTGTGCCAGTCGCTTCAGTGGCCATAATCATCCTTGCAGCCTTGTACTTCTGGAGAAAGTGGAAAGCGAAGAAGGCGGCTGAAGAAGAGCGGAGGAAAGAAGTGGAGGAGTACGGGTTCAATCCGAATAACGATCCATCCCTACCTCCTATCATGGGTGGTGGAGCCTTTGAACCCAAGGACGATAACACTTCTTCAGGCTACCGTGGCTGGGGAACGACATCTGCTGGTCGCAAGGCATCCACGAACCTATCAAGCAGCGCCGGAGTCGGCCTGGCGATGTCCGAGGCTGGAAGCGCGCCTGGTTATCACCATGCAGCGACCCCAAGCGATGGGACAATTCAGTACTCCGAAGGGCAAGGTACACTGGGAGAGACTGAACCCATTGGAGTTTTGGGTGCTGCTCCAGCAGCCGCGGCGAACAGTCGAAATGTCGATATTCACCGTGGTCCATCGAACGCCTCGTCGGCCTACTCTGCAGCCAATCATTCCGAAGCGTCCGAAGAAAGTCACATGTCTGCCACTCACCCCTCGGGAGGTTTCTACGACGATAACCCGTACTATAATGATATGCAACCGCAATATGGTGCATATGGTGACGGCCCGTATGGCGGAGCTCCGCCTGTCATTCGCGATGTTCAGGCACGACGCAATACACGCATTGAGAATCCTGCCGTGTTCCCTAGACAAGGGAATGCTGGTATCGCGCAGAATTTCTGAGTTGCCTCTGCTTTCTCTATCCTCGCCGCATTAATACGTGGACATTGCATGCTGGACGCCCGGATGCAACAGTCATTGTGGCGGTCGATGGGTGCTTTCTAAAGAGCCTCTAGCGCCTTCAATTGGCTGTCTTTATATGTCTTATTGGGGTCACAAGACCTATGGCATAGAACGAATCATGCCTACAACGCCAACCCCCCGCCTGGAAAATTGAGATAGCTTGCCGCCGAACTGTTCGGATAACGTTCAAGGTGCAGCATCATGAATGTCTTGTTCTTCAAATCTCTCGCTCACTGTTTCTTTTGTGGCCTTCCCAGACCTCAAAATACCTCCTTCGTTTCAATCGTCTTGTTTTCTCGTTTCAACCGGTGCCCTCGTTATTCTGGTATATGGATATATCCCTCCTGTTTTTCTCATTTTCTTTTTTTGTTTAACTCGGCCTTGTGATTGTACATTTATGATTCTATAGAAGCCTGACCTTCACACAAGGCAATCAGGGCTTCCTATCTTGTTATTTTTCTACCCGCCTCCTTATCCCTTTTCTATTTTCTGTTTTCCTCGATTTTGTCTAAACGTGTCTTGCTCGGGTCTGGATATATTGTGGGTCAAGGCCACCGCAGTGCGTGCATCTCACCTGTACATTTGGATGCAATTGCATTGTGGACTGTTCATGGGGAGGGTAGTGTGGTTAAGGAATATATATTGTGAACTTTTTTGTTCCTGAATCCCTAGAATTCGGAAAACTTGAAGGGCTCCAGCATAAGTGATCCGAAGAAGTAGACCGTAGTGAAATCTGGTCCATTGACGGTGAGAATGTCACACGTCTGCCCCGGCACAGGGCATGGAAGAGCCCGCACGGACATGGTAACTTTTCAGGGATACAATTGGTGTTGCAAACCTGCTAGTGCTTTACGTAGGGCTGAGGACGTAGTACAGTCCAGATCAACCGAGTCTCCTGTAGATCATGACCAACAGACATGATGGGGAGGAGGGATTGATGGGTTAATGTAAGAGCCTGATAAGGAAGCATGATCATGCAATTAGCCATTGATTCCTTCCAGCCTTCTGGTTTCATGTCCAGGAGATATAATGACCTAGGGTAGATCGAGATTTGTGGCTTGAAGGTGCCGCACATTGCAAACATGTACCTAAAGAGTAAAAGGTGAACAGTAGGATAGGATCGGACAATTGCCAATTGATGCACCAGAGTAATAAGTAAAGTATATCCTGCATGGCTCGGCAGCAGAAGTGATTGGCTGCATGTGGGACAACGCAGGGGCGGTACCGCCAAGCCTGGAATGGAATGAAGAAAGACGCCTGCGGTAAGTACTAGATAAGTCCGGAGTTGTAGATAGTAAGTATCCAAGTAACTACTAAGTACTTCTGGCCCGGCTGTCCTTGAAAACAATGATCCCCGAAGAAGTCCAGGTGTACTTTTAACTAACTCAATACCAAGCAAGTAACGAGTCAATTCATTGTTAGTGTACTTTTTGTAGAACACGTTGGCCATGAAGCCCGCGAATTGAAGCGTTGTCGTTCGGCGATAGAGGGAACGTGGGCACATTCCGGGCGGTGATTGGACCGGAGGCAGCTCTCCAGAGCTCCCCACTTCTTTTTTTCGACGTAACTTGACGTTGACCCTACCTATTCTGGCATCTAATGAGCGAAGCGCGTTCCCCCATTACCGCGTCTCTTTGGGTTTACTGAACCTTGAGCTTCTCTGTTTGCTCTCTTTTGCCTTCTCTCCCTCTCCCTCTCTCCCTCCCTCCCTCTTCTTTTTCCCACCCCTCCCAATTGTGCCCCGCCGGGGTCAGGTGCCCCGCATTGGTCTGCCCTTCCGGGTGAACACGGCATACCTTTTTAGTTGTGAGAGAACGAAGAGGTCTCTCTCTCTCTCTACCTAAAGAGTAGATAGTGATACTAGATCCTACTACCGCACCAGTCATCCATAGTTTATCTCCCATCCCTTCTCTTTGTCTGCTGTCTACCTGCCCTGTCACCGCCGACGCCGCCGCCGCCGCTGCTGCTGCTGCTTCAGTGAAGGAACGACGTAGACGGAGATACCAGGATCCCGAGATATCACTACCTACGTCTGAAGGTACCTGGATCAGGCCGATCGTCACTTTGACGGGTGTCCTTGCCTTTCGTTCCCCGTCCCTTGGGTTTCTTATTGACGCCCCACCCTTAAGACTAGTCCAGTCTTCCCTCGTTGTCTTCTCTCGCCCTCCCTCCATCCCGCCGGCCGAGCTCAAGAGAGGGGCGGACGTCCTCACCCCATATTCTCACTCGCTGCCATTCTTCTTTCACTTTCGCTCTGGCATTGCTGCTGCCCACTGTCTCTCTTTCTTCAACCTCGTATCTAGCCCCCTCAGCCTTTGCCTGAACTGGGCACCAGCGCATTACGGGTCCGGTTACATCGCTCTCTCGCCTTCGCGCAGAGCTAGCCTCCGAAGATGTGAGTCCATGTCTGCTCACCGGTCATGGAATATGAGCTCGTCATGTCTCCCATTGGGACACTAACAACCAGGGTTACAGGAAGTTCGGCAAGCAGATCCAGCGTAGACAGCTCGACCTTCCCGAATATGCCGCCAGCTTCGTGAATTATAAGGCTCTGAAAAAGGTCGGTCTCACACTCACTTATCTGGCCGTTCACTACCTCGCCTTCCTGTTTCCTTGGACCACCAGATACACACCATGTCTCACCACAGCTGACCCCTATGACAGCTTATCAAACAACTTAGTGCGACACCGACAATACCCGCTCAGAGCGCTGCAGGTGTCCCCCAAAATGTCCCCGAAGCGCAAGCTGCTCTTCGCGCGAATAAGGAGGTGTTTTTTTTCCGTCTGGTAAGAAAGTCTGCCAACCGCAGGATGAATTGGGGCTCATCGATGATTTGTGTAGGAGCGAGAGATCGAGAAAGTCAATGCATTCTACTTGCAAAAAGAAGCCGAGGTTTGCATTCCTTTGCAGCTCCCTTCAAGAGCTGTGATGTGCTGATGACAAGGAACAGTTCTCGTTACGGTTGAAGACGCTAGTCGACAAGAAACGAGTCATCCAGTCGCGGGCAGTGACCAGTTCAAAAGCACCAGCCAATTTCGTTGCCCTGTTTGAAGGCTTTCAGCAGTTCGATGGGGACCTGAACAAGTTACAAGTGAGTTCGTTCGGTGTTCGGTAAGCTTTGTCGAGGGAGGCATACTGATAGTCACTGTACGAAAAGCAATTCGTCGAGATCAACGAGACTGCGATGTCGAAAATCCTAAAGAAGGTTCGTCACAGAAAGCAACGCAGTCGTTAGCTTCCTTGGTCTTGACATGGCTAACAGTTCAATTAGTGGGATAAAACATCAAAGGTCCGAGTCACCCATACCCCGCGCGTCGTGGATCCATTTATCCCATCTTGATAACGTGCGGCCATTTACTTATCCGTGTGTCTCCTATAGTCTCGCATGAAGGAACTCTACCTGCACCGTGCTGTTGAAGTCCAACCGTGTTTCAACCGTGATGTCTTGCGTGATTTGTCCGACCGAGCAACGACCGCCAGATTAGAGCTTGAAGCATGGGCCGAAGGCGAAAACATCCACTTTGATACGGCTCGCCCGGTGGATCGGGCTATGGCTGTTCAGGCCTTTGGCACGGATGAGGAAGATCTCGATCTGCAGATTCTACAGTCGGCAATGGCAGGGAACCTGCAGACGCTACGCGAATGGACCGCCAAGTTGCAGTCGTCTCCCGACGCACAGGCTCGCGCAACCCGCACTTTCCTAGCCGCCATCAACGAGTTCTCCGACGATGTATTAGCGGTGCTCTTGGAAAGCGGTTTGGTTAACCTCTTAGCTGAAGATGACATTAATGAGCGCAACTGTCTGCACGAAGCAGCCATCTCCGGTCGTGAATTTGTTTTCAAAGCTGGCCTGACAGCCGGGGTCGATGTTTCCAGAACAGATGTGTACGGCAGGATTCCTCTTCATTACGCCTGTATGCATGGCCGCGTGGATATGGTGCGGGATCTCCTGGCCGCAGGACCTCATACTGTCGATGTGATGGATCATGATAACTTCACCCCTTTGATTCACAGCATTGTCAAAGATCAACTAGCATGTGCAGAGCAACTACTTCACAACAATGCCCGTATTGATCCCGCTTCCGAATCCGATCATATTCCGCTGAATCTTGCCTGCCAGCATGGATCGATTTCGATAGTTCAAATGCTTTTACGGCGGCGTGCACGATTGCTCCCAGACGCGGAAGGCCTCTATCCTCAACACATGGTGGCACGAGCCTCGCAGTCGCCGCAGCTACTTCTTCTTCTCAAGCAATACGGGGCTGACATGGACCAGCGTGACAAGTTGTATCAATGGACGCCGCTCTTCCACGCTGCCAGCGAAGGCTGTGTGGGCTGTTTGCGCACCCTACTGGAGCTAGGTGTCGACGCCAGTGCTGTTGATGAGAAGGGCCTCTCGGCGATGTATTATGCAGCCTGGGAAGGGCATTTGGAATGCATGCTTTTGCTTTGGTCTAACCGCACCGACTCACGACCCGCACGGACACCATTCGACATTATGAACGGTATGAGACAGCCAGAGGCAAGCCACAACATTGACCTGCAAATCAGCGATGCGACAGAAACCGGTGATATGGAGACCGCTGACGGTATCCCTGATCTGTCTCTCCCGCCGCCTATCATACCCTTGAGGCGATACGGCCATAACTTTTTGGATAAGAAAGTGTTTGTTCAGATACTATTTGACACTGGCGCGTCTGGTTCAATCTGCTTCGATCAGGCCGGGCGGCACCCTGCTGCTCGGTTGACCATCTCATCGAAGCTCTCTGACTTGATTCCCCGGACGATCATGCTTCCGATCCAAGAGGATTCACGCATGATTTCATTCCATGTGGACAACCTAGAGTCATTCGCCGTTGATTTCGAGATCTTCCCCACTTTTGGCTCCAAAGTTATCGCTAAAACAGTCGCCCTACCGACAGTATTCAAAGCCGAGAATTCCAGTACTGGGACATGTACATTGCCGTTGTTCGATCCTAGGTTACGTTCGATCGGCCAGCTTCAGTTTGGTTTCCAGGTTATCAAGCCGTATCACGGAGATCCTCTGGAGATCACCCACTTTGCCACTTATTGGAAGGCAACAAGTGCTATTGATCCCGAGCATAACGGCCTAGTCACCGGCTCAAGCCTCTCAGGCGACCATGTTCAGCTTTTCGTGCAACTCACTAAGGATCGGGTTCCGGTTCTGTACCCTCACTTTACCATTGGCCATCACAACATCGAAATACCCATTTGCCATCTTACCTATGCCCAGTTCCAAGCAATGGGTGCCGAAAGGGGCATAAATCATTCGGAAATGCTGCAGTTCCTGCAAACACGCGCGGTGGAGGATTTGACACAGGCTCATCGCTTGCTAGCCTCATCATTCCTCTCATTACGAGACGTATTCCACCATCTACCACTCAGTGTCAGCATCAATCTGTCGATCCTCTACCCCTCTGCTGCCGAGGAGCGAGCGTTGAACATGACATCTTTGGCGGATGTCAACACCTTTGCCGATGCGATCCTTACCGAAGTGTTTGACCATGCTCGTATTTCGCGTGATCAGAACCCCGATTACATGCGATCTGTAGTCTTTACCTCCTACAACCCCAATATATGCATTGCTTTGAACTGGAAGCAACCGAACTGTGAGTTATCCATGCCCTTACAGGCATCGCTTGGAAGCAACATCGCTAACTGTTTACTTCCTATCTCAGACCCCGTCCTTCTTTGCAATGATCTTGGCCAAATTCGTGACTTAGCCCGTGACGTTAAGTCTTTGCCAGACGTCGATAGTAGTGGTCGAGCTTCCATGTCCATTAAGGAATCGGCGCGGATAGCGCAAAGTAACAATCTCATGGGCTTGATATGCCGTTCTAGTCTATTGGTATGTCGTGCTTCGTCTCTTCCTACACTGAGATTATACAACGGTCTGCCCTAAAGACCAGAAACTAACGAATTGATACCATAGAATGTTGTACCGGCGCTTGTAGAGACGATCAAGGAGCTTGGCCTCGTGCTAGTTGCGGATACCTCCGACGACTCTGAGCAACCCGACCAACTAGACGCCATGCAAGTCGCAAGCCCATTGGGCGTTGCTGAATGGGCATACAGAATGCCAGACGGTGTGAATGGTGTCATGAAAGCCAATGGCATCCTGAAATTCAACGATATGATTGACATGTGATACGCCATCTCGAGTCTTCTCTTTCGCATACATCCCACGTTTCCCTCACGACCTTTTCGTCGATATGTATCTCGGGCGTCAACGGATCCCGAACCCATTGTAATCATGTCAGTCATACATGCTTGTTTCACTGTGAGGTCTTTTCTTTATGTGGGGCTCAGTTCCTTTGTTACTTCTTGCACTGCATGCCTGTATGAACTTGTGCCATTACTTTTTCATAACGCTTGGCTCAATATTGCTACATGCTGTGGTTTTTGGGTACTCTAGACTGATGTCCTCTATCCTTTAATGTCCCGTCTCATCTTTCCTCGAACGTTTGTACCCTGTCGTCCTTGACGATCATGATTGACGGAAATACCCGGTTCAATATCTCTGAGTGGAGAAGGACACTGCGCCTGTGTCCTGCAAAATTATATGTAACAGCTAGTGTACATCTCTCTATAAATATAATATCTTGTTTTGAAGACTCTTCGCAGAGCCATTTCCGGCATTAATCGTCCCAACCATCATACTCAAACACATCTCCAATGACACTTACATGCCCTTCGGCCTACCCTTGACAATATCCCAGCCCCAGCCCCTCAGAACCTTGACGACGTTGGGAGTGATCGCAGCCGTCAGGGGAACCCGAATAAAGATAAGACTCTTGTGAACCGCATAAGCAAGGGCAAGCTGCGTCCAGAGACCTGTCCAACGTTGAAGAAAAGCGATTAGCCAACGGATCTCTTATACTCACGGATGCATCCAAAGCAAAGGGGTAATAAACATAAGCCACTTACTAGCTTCACCACCATTAGCCTTCTCCTCACCCGCCTCCTTCTCCTCCTGCTCCGCCTGCCTCTGCAACGCAGCAGCAGCCTTCTCCTCCTCCTCCGAAGGAGGCCACACCTTCCGAACAGCCCCCTTCACCGACTCCGAAATAACATGTTCATAGTGGCCGATCCGCTCCACTCCAGCCAACCGAACAGCCATAAAGCACAGCGGGAAATCCACCGCCGACAGAATCAGATACACCCACAGCGCGGACCATCCGTACTCCTTCGACAGCGTGCGAAGACGCTGCGAAAGAGAGGGCGCTTGCTGCTCCGATTGCGCCGAGCTGTTCGACCGAGCGGACCGGAAGAACGACCGCCGGAAGATGTTCCCTGGTTGTTGCATCTGGCCGCTCCTGAATATTATTTGGGAAGGCCCGCGTGTCTGGAAGCTCAATGCGCGTCTGCTGGGCATTCCGAAGGCCCGGCTTAGGAGTGGGGAGGAGGGTAGGGAGGATGTCCTTGTTGTTGTGGACGCGGGTGGCGCATTTTGGAGGATTCTCGACGCTTGAGAGAACAGGCGCGATAGGTGAGACTGTCGTAAACTCATTTTGTTCGGGGTTTATGGATGGATGGTTGTCCGAATGCGAGCGAGTTGGGGGGGGGGGGAGGCGTAGTTTTGTTGAAAGAGGTTGTGATGTGAGTATTTCTCCGGTAGGTCTTCGGAAAAGAACGGACAAATCGTGGGGTGGAAGATGACCGGGAAGAATCACCAAGAAGTCCTCTTCTTAATATACTCGCGGATAGCGACGGTCTGGAAAGCAAAAGAAGCCGAGACGGCAATGCAGGCCTGAATGCAAGTGAGATTGGGATGACGTTGCGGCAGCAAATCGTAGGATCAGCTTCCCTCCCGTCTTTTTTTTATACACTTCGGCGCCGCCATCGGCGTGCCGGCGAGTCCGGTTCCCGATTGGCAACTGGCATCGGAGCATGGAATTGACTGCACGAAAATCGCATGCTCGAAGTTTGCGGTGCTAGTGTCGCCATATCTTCGGCATTGGCTCGGGCCAGGAATATGAAGGCTCCATATAAGCACTATTAGCGATCTAGTGTAGAATCTGCGTGCTTACTTGCGCGCTGGTAAATAAGCATTCATACAGTACTAAGTAAAGTAACCCATGTTTACCCGCATGTATTAATGCCTGAGGATCATTCCCAGGCATCAAACCAGAATCCACGGCGCGCGCACCTTACCCACCACACCGCCTTCGAGGCTCTCCGGCCCATCCTCGACGGGGTCTCCGCACGTCTTGCCAAAAATCTCAGCGGCAGAAAAGAAGTGAGAGTGAGAGTTATACCTCCTCCCCCCATCACCTCCAATCGCCATGCCTCCCCGTATGCCCGGGAAGCTTTCCCAGCTTCCCCTGACGACAATCTGGGCGTCTCAAATCCCGACTACTTCTTCTTCTTCCGTCCGCAGCAGCCAATTCTCCATCACCTCAGTCCGCACCTTCGGTATCCGGTCCCTGAACCCCCCGGAGACTTCACGCTTCAACGTCGGCCATGACCTGCCCGTGCTGAAGTCGACACCCACCGCCGCCCTCGAGCGCAAGGCAAACACCCTTCCCCTGCGGACCGGTGCCATCACCTTCAAGAAGGGCATGACCGCCCTGTATGACCCGGAGACCGGCAAACGTGTTCCCTGCACCGTGCTGCAGCTCGATCGAGTCGAGGTCGTATCGCACAAGACTCGCGAGAAGCATGGATACTATGCTGTTCAGCTGGGTGCTGGCTGGAGGCGTCCTAGTAACTTGACCAAGTCCCTGCTCGGCCATTTCACTGCCAATGGCATCTCGCCTAAGCGTCATGTCTACGAGTTCCGGGTTAAGGATGAGAGCGGGCTTTTGCCTGTTGGTCAGGCGGTCAGTGCGGACTGGTTCCAGGAGGGACAGTTCGTTGATGCAAGGTCAAATACGAAGGGTAAGGGCTTCGCGGGTGTCATGAAGAGACATGGTTTCGGTGGTCAGGATCGCAGTCACGGTGTTTCTTTGACGCATCGTTCGCTTGGTTCCGCTGGTCCTAGTCAGGGTGGTGGTTCTCGTGTTTACCCTGGAAAGAAGATGGCGGGTAACATGGGTAATGAGCAGAACACCGTCCAGAACCTGAGGATTCTGAAGGTGGACGCTGAGAATGGAATCGTCGTGGTCAATGGTAGGATACCCTGAATTACTGGTTCTCATAGATGGATACGGTTGATGCTAACTTTGGCTTTCATAGGCTCCGTTAGTGGTCCCAAGGGCTGCGTTGTCCGGATACAGGATGCCATCAAGAAGCCGTGGCCGGAGGCTTCCCCTGCGACTACTGAGGCTTCTGAATAAATTGACCCCGCGCGCTTTCTGTTCTTCTTGTCATCTTCTGTGAAATGTACTACTACACTGTATTGTTTTTAAGAGCGGCGTCTGTATATGATACATAAATGATATCCCTTTCCCAAAGTGTTGGTTCCTATAGGTTCTTTTCCGCCTCTGATTGGCGCTTTCATATAGCTCTTCCACTCCAGTCGAGCAACCTAAATCTGCCCAATGGGATGGGTGAGGGGGAAAGGGAGAGTGAGACGCTTTCCGAAGCCCGAACGCCTTAGCCCAATGCACATGAATGATATGATATATTTACATGCACAAATCTCCAAACACCACGTAACAAGCGAGTATACAGCCCGAAACAAGAGGGCCAAGTAGTCGAGTCAATCAATTGGTCTGGTTGAATGGGTCGGTATCTTTGTCAAGCAGCTGGACAACCGTGCCGTCCTCGGTTTCCAAGCTCCATACTTCCGTGCGGAACTATACAACGAACGAACGTTAGCCAGGAAGTTTCATGTCAAATATAAAAAGCAATGGGGTAAACGAACAAAGCTAGTCCGGTCAGGTCTAATACTGCGGAACCGCATTTTACCCTGAGCCTTAGTACCCTTAACCCAGAACGAGATATCAATGCGACCATGAAGCTGGTTCATCTCTCCACTAATCCACGGGATCTTCTGAGCAAAGTAGATCTCATCACCCAGAATCTCCCTCGCCTGCGGGGAAGTCCTCAGCGCATACAGCGTACTGTTAACCACACTGGAGGAAGATTTCTGATAGTTAAAGATACCCAGCATAGCGGCCCCCACAACAACAGCAAAGATTGGCAAGGTTCGTATCCATCGCCTCTCGTTTTGAACATTGGGTAGAGCTCTGTCCGCCCGTCTTTCCATAAGAGGGCCCGAGTTCGCCTGTGGTGCGGGGATCAAGTTGCGCCGGGGAGGGAGCATTTTGCGATGATTTACGCATAGTCGAGAAGCGCCGATACGCTTCTCTGCGAGTCGTAGGAGCATCTTTTGAAAAGGTATAAAGGTCCAATTGGCTTTCGACGTGTTCCGTGTGCCTTGTTGCGGTGTGGCGGCGTGACCCTCTGTGGTTTATTGTATCGTGGAAAGTGGCAGTAATAGTAAGGCGTGGTTGCTAAATGCTCGGAAGCCCGAAACCTGAGGCGGGAATGGTAATCTAAAACGGGTGTACTGCCCGTACCCTTGGCAAACGAGACAAACCCACGCCCAAGCTAAAGAGACCTCGTGTGCTTTTATAGGCCTGAGCGACGTCATCAACAACTCTTTGATTCTCTCTGCTACCTTCATAGCAGGCATATTGTTGCAGCGATGGCAACGGCAAGGCTTCGCAGAGCTTTTCGCTACCCTGATGATTCAGGTGATGACGAGCACAGTCGGGAGGAGCTAGACGAAGAAGGTATGAACATACTGACAAATGGTCAAGCAGGAAGCCAATCTAGACGACGTTGCTGACGGTCCGACAGAGCAGGAACGTGTAATAGAGCAGCTGAAAGCACTAAATGAGAAAAGAAACTCTGAATATAGTGTAAATATATTTCCTATCAGAAAACCATTGAACTGAGAGTGAGAGCATTTGCTGAGGACCCATAGATCGTTTTTGCCGCCATCCCGCTATTTTCCAGCTTCGCTTTCATTGCTTCAATACTGTCAGGCTCCTCGAGCCTATCCGAACAATTTCTCTCTTTGCTCGGTGCCCTATCTCTACTAGTCACGGCCTATATCATGATATATCTCCCGCTTGAACGCCCGGATCCTAAAGGCAAGAGACCAATGACCACACCGCATGCTATGGCTAGCATTCGGCCATATATCTTGCCTGTCAATGCTGCGATCTGCGTGCTTCTGGCCCTGGTCTACGCTTCGCAACCCACAACGCAATCCTGGCTGGAGATCCAGCCGGTTACTTATTCGGTTCCAGGAGGTAGGTGACCTTCGGCATCCTTGCTTTGCTTAGCTGCTTCGAGTCTGGCAAAAGATCGGACGAGTACTGACATGACATAGCAATGTTTGCAGCTGTATTAGTCGCACGCCAGGTCATGCTATCAGTTGACCTCAAAGCGCTTGAGAACCTCCGCTATGAGTACAAAGGAGCATAGGGCACGCTGCAATAATATAGTCTTGGTCAAGCACGGCTTTATGGGAAATCACCTGACAGGGGCTGATGCAAGACATCAAGTTCGATCCTGAATTCGTCCGCTGATACATAGCCAAGATAAGCCTGCTCGCTATTTTGCGGAAAAGTGAAATAAATAGAAAAAGAAGTATAACGCCCGACATGCATAGAGCTATAACGACATGAGACACTACTGCTGCGCCCCGAAACTTGTCACTGGCCGGAGAGGTCAGGTGCACTCATAAACGAGCTGTCAAGCCTTTCCAGGGCCGGATCTACCGGTATGTCTCCATAGTCAGGCGCATACTCTGTTACTGGAGGCACCTCCTCGAGCTGAATGCTATGCTCGACCATTGACTGGTTACGCTTGTCGTCGGCTTCTTTCTGGTGCTTTTTCAGCCTTTTGACCTCATCATCGCCGGCCTTCTTCAACCACCTGAGGTTGGATTGTCGGAAATCCACTAAGCTCTCCACACTTCGAGGGTCGGCTATCTTTCGGGTGTCGTGGCCCAACAATGTGCATGTCGGCTCAAAGGGCATCATCGTGGGATCGCGACGACACGCAGCACAACTGCAAATCTTGCGGCACTTTGGGCACTTCCACTCAAATGCCTCCATCGTCTCCTGCGGCTTTATATTGAAAGCCCTAAACAAGCTGCCATAACAGTAGTTCGTCCGGCAGCTAGAACACGAGGCAAGCTTCCACCTTGGCTCGGCATATCTGCAGATATGGCAATTTTCAGTCTGCTGAAATGCGTCAACTCGACGAGTTTTCCTCCGTTTGCGCGCGGAATTAAGTCGCTCCGAATCACTTTCCAGCTCTTCAAGCCGTTCTGACTGAACAGTCGGCTTACTTATGTCGACCCACGGCCGCCGCCTGAGTTCCAACTGGCAAACCTCTGCAAGTGTTCTCTTCTCCAGCCGGCTCCTCTGCGCTGGGAGACTCACGTATGTGTCTCGGGATTTAGAGTTGATGTCGAGTAACTGCAGCCTCCAGGTCTCGTATTTGGCTTGAAGCTCATCCCAAGGGAACTGCTCAACCCATTTGAGCTTAGCTATGCAAGCACAGCTCCTGCCCATCGCATAGCATTCCATGCAAATATCATAAGTGTCTTCTTCGTCTGTGTTTGTTGGTCCCACACAAGATGGGCAAGTTAGGAACCTGTTGAAAATGTTACCCCGGCAGTATGAACATGTAATGTTACTGTCAAAGGCAACATACTCAACATCCTCTTCGGGTAGTTGGTCCGAGAAGCTCTCAGACAAGATGATGTCAGTGAAGAGGCCGAAAAGGTGCTCGAAATCTTTGACAATTTGCTTAAGTGTCGAATCACCACTGTCAACTGTATCTGCCTTGCGGAGGATGGCCGAGTAATGCTCCAATGAATAGAACACTATCGCCTTGTTTTTATACTGTTCGTCTCGGCAAACCATCCTGGCGTGAGGAAGAGCCTCAGTGAGCGCTTTCTCCAGAGTTTCCGGAGTTGTACGATTCCAAGCGACTTTCATTGTCCGTGTTCCTCGATTCCACACTTGGTGTGCTGCTAAAGGGGGTACGAGGATGAAGTCGCCCGGTCGTTGCTCGACAACGTAAGTCTTGAAGGGCGCTGCCTTCCACGCATTTATTTGCGCAAAATGATCCTCAATATCGATGTCGTGACCCAGGGTTGACATCCAATATTCCGAGACTACACGGCGGTCTTTGCTCTCGGTCATGAACCAAATAGACGACCCTGGCTTCGTTTCTTTGCCATATTCAGTGGAACCATCCGACGCCTCCACCATGATGTTCTGGCCCAAGCTAGCACACATTTCCTGATGAGCTGGTGTATAGGTACCCTCGTGGCCGATGTAGCACATCAGGTTTTCTGCACGCATGCTAGGGGGGAGGCAACTCATAAGATCCCCAGGTCTGGCTATCGGGTTGTTTGAGCCCGTAGACTTTTTATTTCTGCTGGAAGATGTACTTCTCTTCGCTCCCGGGCCGTCAAAGCTTTCCTGAAACTGGTTCAAGTAGAACAATCCAGGGGGGATTATCTTTTTCAATTGCTCGCGCCATTGATGAGGACAGTCAATGTCCTTAAGATAGATCCTCTGGCGGTCAGGATCTTTGTAGTTATAGGAAGTCCACTGATTTGCTAGAAGGGGCAAGTTTTTCAGGTAATGTCCAATAGTAAGAGGTAAATCAGTTTTTGTGGTCAAATTCCGAGCGCATTCCGCTGTGTCGTAGAAGCTCTGAGTTAGATAAGCGAGATAGCATAGATGAGGGTTATATCACTCACTTTTCGATGAATAGTGAGTTCTTAGCCATTTCTCTGAGAAAATCGAGTTATTGAGCCGGTGGTTGAAGCCCTCGACTACCAAAGGCTTTCCACCCCGAACCACATGGAGCAACACAAGCTTCTCGAATATCTCCAGCCCATTCTCATCAATCATATCGCAGTGAATCCTGGCAACTTCCTCGAAATTTGGTGTTGAGTTCACGAGTGCTGTGAGGTCCAAGTCTGGAGAAAGTGGCTCAAAAGCCGCTCGTGGTCGCTGGGCGGGCATCCTGAAAGGGGTTCAACAAGGTTGATACGAATAGCTATAGCTCCAGGACGTTCGCCTTCAAATGTATCGATCACCCTATTTCGCGATATTAGACAAAGACAACAAATCTTTTTCCCCGCAGTACAGCAAGTTTTCAAGCTACTGGATGGACCACTGCGCCGAGGTTGTGTTCTCCTGGAGTTCGTGAGAGATGTCGGAGCGTACGTACACCAGAATGATTCATGAATATCGCCCAGGACAGGTATTCAGCTGAGGAGGGCCGATATCAACGCGCTTCAATGAAGAGGCCCGTATGGTGAGCTTCATCACTTGCCCACATACACATATCGCGCGGTCATGACAATACCGAGCAACAGGCGAGCATCAGGAGAGCAACACCACGAGTTTGAGACGGTAAAAGCAGTTGCTCTCTGTGCAGGCTATACCGCACTTCCCAAGTGATGGGAGTAAAGAAAGTATTCAACACCTATAGACACTGCGCAGTTGTTGATTGTCTCGATTCACTCTCGCTGCAGCTGCATCGGCGATTGTGGCATGTGGGTCCCCGTCCGCCGGGCCCAGGAACGCATGGAACCACTGCCGAAAAAGGCTCAAGAACACCTCCGGACGCCAATATCCGTACCTTAAATTTCGCTCATCATGAACTTTTTTCTCTCCCAATCAGTTTTCTGAAGAGTGAATCTCAGGAAGCTCCTGCTCCTGGCATGGAAATTGCTTAGTGGTAGCTGCATCTTACGCTTCTTTTTGCTTCAATTCTTCTCATCTGCTCGTCAATTGACTCAAATAGCGTCTAGTCTGGTCGGCGTGCGGATTCCATCTGCCAAATCGCTGTGCCAGATCGATTCGTTTGTCTCCGTGTAGGATAAACCTGAAACTACTAGTCATACAGGAGGCCAATTGCTACGCACCATCGTCTCAAAAATCTCAACCGGTTCATTATGAGTTGCTTGCACGCCGGCCGGCATGCACGACTATGCCGCCATCTTAGGGAAAGGAGCACTTACATATACCGATTCACCTCTATACAGGGACACCGTTGTCCACTTTCCTTATCGTCGTCTAGAAGATATGGTTATACGGCGACCAACAGCATTCAATCGATCTGCCAGAAATCGAACATTACAACCCACAACCGCCATCCCCGTCGCTCGGCCTTGATACTAAGCCAGGCACACAGTACAACGAGCCAGGCCTCAGTGACATGCTATACGCCACCAAACAAGGGTCTTATCTCTTATTTGCCTCAGTCATGGATACCGTACGCTGAGCTGCTACGCCTCGATAAACCGACAGGTACATACTACCTTTTCTTCCCCTGCGCATACTCAACTCTACTTGCCGCGTCCATTGCGCCGTCCGTCTCAGCCTGGGAGGTCGTTGGAACTACCGGTCTTTTCTTTGCTGGAGCCTTGATCATGCGCGGTGCCGGATGTGCAATCAATGATCTATGGGATAGAAATCTAGATCCGCATGTCGAACGCACGAAGTTCCGCCCAATCGCAAGAGGAGCAATCCCTCCTGGTAAAGCGGTGCTTTTTACAGGCACCCAGTTACTGGCAGGACTTGGTGTTCTTCTTCAATTTCCGTATCAATGCCTTTGGTACGGTATACCTAGTCTTCTTTTGGTGACCACGTATCCTCTTGCTAAGCGCGTTACTTATTATCCCCAAGCTGTTCTGGGCCTTACTTTCTCATGGGGTGCAATCATGGGCTTCCCTGCGCTGGGTGTCGATCTCCTCCATAATAGCGCCGCACTGGAAGCTGCTGCTGCGCTTTACGCTAGTTGTGTGACCTGGACGGTTCTGTATGACATGATATATGCGCATATGGACATTAAAGATGACGTTGCGGCTGGCATTAAGTCTATTGCCCTTCGTCATGAAAAGAACACAAAAGCTGTGCTTTCAGCTCTCGCCGCCGTCCAAGTGCCGTTACTCGCCGCTGCAGGTGTAGCAGCGGGAAGCGGGCCCATCTTCTTCATCGGCAGTTGTGGCAGTGCGGCTGTCACCCTCGGTCTCATGATCTGGAAAGTTCAGTTAAAAAACGTACAGAATTGCTGGTGGTGGTTTAAGAATGGTTGCTTGCTCACCGGTGGAGGCATTACCCTGGGAATGTTCCTTGATTATGTCGCGAAAACCACTGGGTTTTATGATCCGGACGAGGAGCCGGTTTCCCTGGAGAGCTGATAGAAAACAAATACCCTACGTTCTTCTTTTCAGGTCCTGAAGCTCTAGCTAACCTCTTTATTTATCGTCCTTGCCAATACCTAAATACTGCTCCACCTTATCGACTATGGTTTCCCATTCCATCATCCCCCCGGTTCCTGTATCGCCGCAAGCAAGAGATTTGTCTATCGGGTTAAGTACAGATACCCAACCCTCGTTGTTGCGAGAGTTTACGCCCCATTCATCATTCAGTATAGCCAGTTGCTTTGCGGTGATCGGATGAAACCACATTGCTGTATTCATGGCAGGGGCAACAAACACAATGGGCTTCTTCTCCTTAAATGTGGCGTCCACCGATCCCGTCGTGTCCCATGCTCGCAAAACAGAGAGAAGAAGATTATCTGAAATTCCCATGGTCATTTTGGCCATGGTGTTGGCGGATAAAGGAGCGATGAGTAGAATATGTGCCCATTTTCTGAGCTCTATATGTAGGATTGGCTCGCCACGAATCCAAGTGTGCCTCCACTCATCCTCGTCTCGGTAAATAGCATCCACACCCGGAAGTTCGAGGAGATTTTCGAGCAATGGTTGCTCGTGACTCTGTCCCTTAAGAAATTCAGCCGCTGATCTTGTAACGATTATGCGGATAGAAACATTCGAATGGCGGCCAAGGGCTTTAGCGATATTGGGTAGTTTAATGGTCGCAACCGACCCACTGGCTGCAAGAAGCACATGAATTTTATTGTCACCCATGTGATGTTGGGCTTTGAACGGAGCTGGTGAGGATTCCATGGGGCTGTTGGGCAGATACTGGCCGAATTGGGCAAATGATATGATGAGTGCAAATGTCGAAACGCGGGGTGATGAAATAATTCAGAATTGGAGTTGCGGGGTGTTTGCGAAAGCACACGCGGGGTGTTTTGGAGGAGTAACCTGTTTATCAATTACTCTGCTAACATTTCCGGTAAAATTCAAGACATTCACAGTCTGCCACGTAAGGATAATTTACACAACACTTTCAATATAGATCATGGGCCAATTCTATCTTTGACTGTCCACTTTCAATTTCACCAAGTCGAAATTTTGCTCGGAGATTAATGGGGAGCCGTCAGCTACCTTGACTAGATGTCCTGTTTTACCGCTCCTGGTATTTCGAGTAAGCTCTTATTTAATATGATCTACTTCTGTAAACGAAATTTACTATTCGTACATTCTTGCCAAATGCATAGACACCTGCTCACTGGAATTTTTTATAAGTGCAAAGAAGTCTGGATCACATGACTGGGACTGGGAACTGTTCCTTATTAATGTCAACAACTACAATGGCTGCTTAGTGAGCATGTGTAGCCAAGTTCTCCGCATGTGCTAACTAAACCCTCGGACTTCGGTGCATATAGACAAGCAGAGCTTGACTTCAGCGGCAATTATTTGACGTTTCTATTCTCACAAACTAATAACCTCATCATGTTTTCTAGGACTTTGGCCTCATCGGTACGTATTGCGAACCCGTACTTTGCTGATCTCTCAGCTATTAGACATACTGCTCCTTCGTTCTTCATGAACATAGCTAAGTTTACGATAAATTTTTATTAGGCGTTTCGGCCACTTTTCCGACAACCTCAAGTGTTGCAACCTAGATTCGCCGGCATTCAGCTTCCCTCTACCCTCTATGCCCGGTATCTGTCTTCGGAGACACGAACAGCTATTGACAAAGCTGTCGCATCTGCACCCGTCGTTCTTTTCATGAAGGGCACGCCAGAGACGCCGCAGTGCGGTTTCTCTCGAGCCAGTATACAGATCTTGGGACTGCAGGGAGTGGACCCGAAGAAGTTCGTTGCATTCAATGTGTTGGAGGATTCAGAACTTCGTCAGGGTATGCTTTATAGATGGACTTTTGTCGTCAATCTCTATTTCAAATCAACTAATACTAGGTCTCCCAGGTATCAAAGAGTATTCCGACTGGCCCACAATCCCGCAATTGTATCTGGAGAAGGAGTTCATTGGTGGCTGCGATATCCTGATGTCTATGCATCAGAATGGAGAACTTGCTAAATTGCTCGAAGAGAAGGGGGTCCTTGTGGCGGCCGACTAATATTAGGAATGTGATATAGCGCAGCTGCCTCGAAACACATACTGTACATTTACAAACTATCATACCATTTTTTCGTCCGAAAAAGAACTTTGTTAGCCGTAGATGCATTTGTGCTTGTGACTCAATCTCCGCATTGCATTTTGGCGCGATCGAGGATGGGGAGATAGAGAAGCTTCTGTCATGACGTACGCATTGTCCAAACTTCATCCTGCTCTTCATGTGCTTGACTTTTTGGTATGCATAAGAGCGGCTTGGTCTTCGCTATCTCCGAGCATCCCTCCCTTATTCTCCTTCTTCTATATTATATATCATTTCAAGCTCTATGGAAGCGCTTTTGCCCGACTTTATTATACACCGTTGCTACCTAGGCAGATGCCGACTCTTTGGACTTGGCCAACTCCTCGACAACACCCTTCTCGAGTTTGGCGCGCTGTCTTTCTTCATAGGCTTCCCTACTTTTCAATATCCTGTCAACGATCTCACCGGCATTGACATGCTGGTACGTATGGCTGGATGTCTCTCTGAAAATACCCATCCGCTTGGGTGCCATATAGGGATCATAGGTGAGGGGTATGAACGTAGTAGGGCCGTGGTAAACTGCATCTGGAACGCCTAAGGGCATGGCCTCCAGGTATGACTGACTTGGGGAGAATGGCGAGGAAAAGATCACGGCATGTATATACTAAACTCTGGTTAGCAGGTTGATACTTCACTTCAAGATTCCAGGCACCTCGAATTACGTACGCGACACTGCAGAACGCATAGCCCGCGTTCAAAGATGTTCATAATGGGGTAGTTGAGGCCTTTCCAGTGGTTTATAACATCGTCGTCATGTATGCCAGCAACAACATAAGCAGGGCCATAGTCCTCTCCGTATTCTTTGACTCTCTTATTTTTTTGCTCTTCGTCATACCAACCACGCCGGCGGCCTTCCAGTTCCTCCTGCGTTAGGACCTGTCGAAGGAATTCGATGTGCCCGGATGAGAACAAGTCAAATCCCCCATCAACATAGATGATTCGCTGTCCTGGCCTTGGCGACTTTCCGTTTACAGTTGTCTCGAATGTTCCAGGTTCCTCGACTGTATTCCCAAGTTTTGCAGAACTCGATCCGTTCCAAATCCAAACCTGCGGGCCAGGCTGTAGACCAGTTTCGTCAGTGGCATAATCACGAATCCTTTGCATGAGACTATTGGCCGACTGCTTTCGCTCTTCCAGACTTCCAGATCCTTCTTCTCCGTTGAGGGTATCTTTTACGCTCTTGACGAAATGGTTTTTCGTACACAGAAGCATTCGCCCAACAAGGTCTGTCGTGGATATTCCCGGCGTTCTCTTGACCACACGAAAGCGCCCTGCAGCTTTAACAAACCGGTAGCAGTCCTCCCCATTGCTGTCGGAGGTGATATCATCGCCATGGACGACATACTTGCAGCCGTAGTGAGATACCCAAGGTAAAAATGTCACGTAAGGAGCAGAGGGAACGCAGCGAGTCACCCAGCGACATGCTTCCACTGCAGCTACTCTAGACTTGGGTCAGACGGGTAATGGGCTGCTTGATATGGGCAAACTAACCGTTCGTCCAGTGTCATAACTGTCGGCCCCTTATTCTCGAGGATTGCTTCGTCAGAGTGCACACCGACATAAAGCTCGTCTCCCAATTGGCGAGCCTGGAGCATAGCACCCGCATGACCTATACAAAAGTCAGCCTTGTGGTGAAGGTGTTGTGTAAGGTACGAGCAAAAGGTGCATACCATGATGGCTAAAGTCAAAGCATCCGTCTACCCAGATGCGATTGTCCGAAATGGGTACATCATCTTGGGGGTCCACGGGCCACTCTCCTGGCGCGGGGATCATGTCTTCTGGAGTGGCGCTCATTTTTGTAGGGCAACTTCGTATGGAGGAAACATAAACCAAGAAGCAATTGCCAGAGATTTAATGGGTACCCTATTACCTTATGATTGTATTGAAGCGTTCGGGTAAGCTGTCGACGGGTTGAGACCGTGAAACGACTTAGGGAGTCCACCTACCTAACCCGACTAGGCGGGCTGAAGAGGGGCAATGTGGCATGCGGAGAAGGAGGCGGGATGACATCGTAGGATTCGGAACGGGGCGATACATTATCAGTCCCCGCCTACCATACCTTTATAGTGGTACCTACACTTTCTATGCTTGGTATATATTTCAGAAGTACCTTCTGATACAAACTCTCAGGTAGTATTACATCCATTTTGTGTCACATTAAGATGTGTTAAGAATACTTTTTAGACTTGATTTTAATCATTAGAGATTCTATACTGCCATAGTGAGCGTTCCGGTTGAAAGACTGTATTTGTCAAGAGAACTTGTTCCATTGACATATTGCATGGTGGAAACGAGGGATTTTCGACCATGCCAGGAGGATAGGGGACCAAGGAAGCCCCATCATAAGTTGTCATGCTCTAGAATTATCGAGAGCAAACCACCCTGATGTGTAAATGGCATCTCCATTACTCAAATGCGTTACGAAGAAGTAGGGTTAGTTCAATATGCCCATTATTCCTCTATTTTGGTGCATATATAGTACTTATGGTATATGAACACGACGTCGGAAAAAGAGACAGGTGATAAAAACGAAAGAAAAGTCTATAACTTTTGGTTGTACATGTCTCATAAGTTGCGCGTGATAGCAGAAACAAAAGGCGCTGAGGCAAGGCATTAAAAGACAATCACGAGCAGATGCGGTCCGGACCAATTGCAGAGGGAAGATCCATCGGGAATATAGAAAAACAAACGCTTCGATTAAGACACATGGATGAAGGCGAAAGACGGGAAAGAGGGACGCCAGTTAATGCAAACGCTCAAAAACGTATGACGGAAAAAGATAGACCAAGACCCCAAGCCCCAGCTGTAGTTAGGATTGAAGCTTAGTGCTCTCGAGTTCACGTTGTTCACTGAAAACTCGGCGACTCATCTCAAGAACAGCCTCAAACCCTTCTCGGCCCTTCTTCGCGTTCTGACTGAATCTCTCCACGCTAGCTTCTTCTACCTTATTCTTTATTTTCTGCCATCCGCCACACAGGGCAGTAATCTTCGCCTCTTGGTTGAAATCGGTAGTTGAGGAAGGGTTTGACGGCGACGGCTGATAGATAACAGTCTCCTTGACGTTCAAGACGTTGGACCATGTAAGGTTGGTCGAACACATCGTGACCTTTTTCGAGACAGGATCGACGTAGGACACTTCGTAAACATGCGACGTAGCACTGCCTCCAAAGAGTGAAAGAACCCATTGCGGCACTGATTGGTTACATGTGATCAGACGCTCTGTCCGCAGCTATACAACAAGACAATCAGCCAAATGTTGCACGGTAAGAATGAGAGTAAGATGGTCGATGATACGTACAATTCCAGTATCAGCATCGACTGCCCGAGATAGGGTGTCTACTGCCACGACATGTGTAGACTTGTCATTCCAGGGACAATATTTGCGCCAGTTTGCCGCCGAAACTTCTTCCCAGGAATAATCAAAAGTGCACGTCGAAGAAAAGACTCTCATGTCGATAGACTGCAATCTGAAACGTCCCTTGGGATCGTGATAGACAAGGAGTGACCGTATGCTTATAGAACACTTCGAGAACAAAATAAGATGCACGTCCAAGGAGAAGAAGAGAGAGAGCCAGACCGGGAGCGAAACCCAAGTCTGTGGCGGTAGGTGCTTCGGAGATAGGTTCTTATGGATTCGATAACTACGAGGAGTTCAGGATGCGGCAAATGATCAACTACTACAGGATGAGTAATGAGAACTCCACATGAGTGGTTGTGAAGGCGGACGCAGTGAGTGAGAGTGGCGATCGCCAATTCTGTGCAATATAGCGGTAGGATTGGTAGAAAATTTGAGAATTTTAGCCCCGGATTCCGCGTTCTTCTCCTGGCAAAGAATCAGTGGCGCCAAGGGTCGGGATTTACCGGTACAGTAATCTGACTCCCGGTCAAGGTCAAAAGACCGCCTTCAGCTCCGCAGAGAACCCACTAGTAGTTAGTTACTTATTATGTGCATCTGACATCAGGCGCTACTAATTAGACGGTCGAGGTTGGTTTGTGCCAACTACTTTGTATATCCGAACAATCCCCCGGATCAACATCTTATGCTACCGATCAATCACTCATACTATAGGATAGTTAATATGAATCTAGGTCAAGATATGACAGTATGAATGATGCTCTGGCCCTTTGTTTCCTGCATTATCAAATGTCTTTGAATTGTCCGATAAGAGCCAGCTTTGCCTCTTGTTATCAAAAAATTCGTCAAACAGTTCCAAAAGTGGTGGTTGACATTTAGATGGAAGACACATGCATGCTTTTGGTGTACTCAGGGAAACCCGATATTGGTGGGGAGATGGGAAATTCTTGGGTGATAGATACGTTAGTTAGTTACAAATGCAAGCACACACTTTTTAGTTGTTTACATACCCCTGTACAAGAATCCTTGCCAATTATTACACATCTCCCATGCGTACTACAGTGGCTGTCTCGGGTGATAGTCGTTTTACCTCTTATTCTTTGCCTACACACCACTATCTGTGAACTTATCCACTGTTTAGCTGTTGATAGGCACACATCAGCATTTTCAAAAGTCTTTCTTTACTTCCCTCAACCTTTGCGCTTTGTTTCTGTTGACGCAAAACATCAAAACATCAAACGCCTGGATTCTTAATCACAAGATATGGTCGAACTACGAAAGCGCAAGGCGCCAGCACAAGCCCCTGCGGCAGAGCGCAAGGCCAAGAAAGTTCAGGAATCCACGGTATCTCGAAAGCCGGATGTCTCTAAGGCCATTTCCGACGATAAGGCTCCAAAAGTTGGCGACAAACTGGACTTGGACAACTTCGGTGGTGAATTTGAGACTGACGAAGGGCAAAAAACCACGCTGAAAGATCTCGTCGATGCTAGTGAAGCTGGTGTCGTGCTGTTCACGTACCCTAGAGCTTCAACACCAGGCTGTACGTAAAACCCTCTACTCCCACCTCCCCATCTCCCCTGAACTCTGCCATGAGGATAAACTGGTGCCTGTACAAACACGCATGGTGATCATCGAATACACCCGTTCGCTATTATGGCCTTTGATGTGATCACCCGCTGCAGTAATCCTAGAGAAGCTAATATATCAAAGGTACCAAACAAGCATGTTTGTTCCGTGACAATTATGACTCTATCACGGAAAGTGGTTTATCGATTTATGGCCTTTCAGCGGACTCACCAAAGGCAAATACTACGTTCAAGACTAAACAAAGATTGCCATACCCTCTCCTCTGCAATCCCACCGCTACATTGATAGCAGCTCTTGGACTTAAAAAGTCGCCAAAAGGCACAATTCGAGGAATCTTTGCTATCGATAAACATGGCAAAGTTCTGATACTACAGGCTGGAGGCCCCGATGCAACGCTTGATGCTGCACGTAATCTAGCTGCAGAATTGAAACGGAGCTCTGAAGACGAAACCAGCAACGCGAGCCCACCAGCTAAGGATGACTAGTCAATCATAGTGGGTAACCAGCATGCCAGTTCAATGGGGTTGCTCCCATTGAACATGGTAGCTGATGGATTCATGGGTTACAGACAAATTGAGGCCTTGAGGTTTCCAATTGCTACAGGCCTCGTCTGGCATAAGCACTATATGCAATTCCAAATCATCGTCGCAATTTATGCCCCAGAATGTCCCCCAACCCGAACAGTAATCGGCCATAGTAGCCCGCTTCTCACACGTGAGCAAGGCAATGTGCCTCTTCTAAAGTGTGGCCTGTAAATGCATGCCCTTCGGCACTTTCATATACATTAATGTTTTTTCCTCCATGAGAATAACAGAGCTCCATCATTCCCACTGCTACCTACCATAAAAGTTACCTTGGACAATCGGGAGTAGTGCGACTGTCGGAAAATAGGTTGTTCCGTGTGTAGAGGCTCGAATCCGCAGGCCTGGTTCCGTTTGAGACCGTGCGGCGAAGGACGTACCCTTGAAGGTCTTCCATTCCCTTCCCGATATAGTACTCAGGTAAATTAACACCCACTATAGCAAAATCCCCTGTCATATTTGCGCCTAAATCATTAATACGTTACCTGGACAGAAAAGAAATCATGGCTCGCGACATCGTGAAAGCGGCCAAGTCCGCATCCAATGTGATAGCCGTTCATAAGGTAGGAGATAGCCATTGGCTGCTCTGTGTTGTATCGGGATAGGATATTTTACTTATTCTTTGTTAGAAATATACTGTTCAATCCACTGGGATATGGGAACGCATTCGCCGCCTCCTTGCCGTCGACCCGACTCGCTCCACGGGTGTTCCGTTGAACGCTCAGTATCGTCTACCAACCCCTGGAGCTCTTCCTCCTCTATCCTACGATGATCCGGTTACTATTCCGGCTGGTGATTTGGCTGACAACCCTTATTGGAAACGTGATGTTCGGAGGAATTACCCCCGGCTCAGTGCGGTCAGTCAGGCGGATGCTGTGGGCCTGCTCAGTGTAGGCAGTCAAGCTGCCCCCAAGGATGATGTCCTTCAGGTCGGCGAGGCGGGAGAGAAACAACTGGTGTCTGTGAAGCAACAGGCCGAAGAGCGCGGTCTTGCTGGTCTGTTTGAGAAGGACAAGAATGGAATCAAGGAAGTTCTGGGCGCTAATGGTTTGCCTCCGCTGCCATGCAACTTGAACCCTGCTGGTAGCAAATATCAGCTCGGCCATGACCATGGCTACCCCAGTGTGTATGTGTTACCTATCCCCGTTATTTCTAGACCAAGCTAACACCTTTGACAAGCTACCCCTGCCGCACTTTCGTTTAGCTTGTCTACGCAGCTATAGAGTACAATATTGAGATAAATGCAATTGTACTTACCCTCCCTTTATCACATGTTCTTATTACTAGACGGTCTGTCCTCGTGCTTTTGTGTGTGTAAATATTACTAGTGTTGTAGATAATACTTCGTGTACCTGTAGATGTAAATGACAGCAACTATAGTCGATTCTGTACCCCATCAAAACTTATTAATCTTATCGATGGGGCAAGCAAAGGTAAAGACTAACACGTTCCTCAGGAAATGGCGCAAGCCTACAAGGTACATTCTACTGCCAGTACATCGATCTAAGGAACTGGACAAAACCATGGGCCAAGGATCAAGTAAATTCCGTATACTCTGTAGAGCACATCTGGCTCCTTAAGTTGCATATCTGTGACAAGGTCAAGTTCTACACCCATTATCGCTGGCAATATGTCTAGCAAATCCACTATAAACCTAAACACAGGAAGGACTCGTAAAGAGCCAGGGTAAGCTTTTTAAGGTTGTGATTTAGTTGCATGGCGCATGCTCTATACTCAAGTCTTTAACTTCAGTAGATTATAGAAAGGACTATTTGTCGAATATATGATCAACTGATATTATCAAAAACGACATTATCAAAAATTACATTGAAACAATTGAACCTTTAATAGGTGCTAGAAAATGGATTCGTGCGGGTACCCCACCAAGTAAGGAAGAGGCTGAGTCCCACTGTTTCAAACAACCTACTGACTGCACCAACGGCAACAGTGTCAAGGGGTCTCTTTTCGGCAAAGACCTGGCTCACAACCTATACAAAGGCAACACATAATTAGTATTTATAAAATGCGAGTTGGTGGTCGAAAAAGGAGAGGGTGAGAAGAACATACACCGGGGGCTGCGCTGGCCATAAAGATCAAGCTCCCAAGATAAGCCGCTCCCTTGTAGCTCAAAGTACCCGTGGCGTTGATCAGAGCTGCTACTCCATATGTTTGGACAGAGCTTCCAACCAAGGAGGTACCCCAGGCTGCTACTGCACCAGCAGCCTCTTTAGATTTGAGGAACTCTTCCTTGGAATTGGCTGCTTGGGCACGATGATAGGTATCGCCGAATACGGGCGCGAGAATGCCGAGGGAAGCAGTGTGGGTGAAAAGAGCACCTGCCGCAATTGCAGAGGGCTTGACTGAAGGGAGATCTAGGCCAATTATGTTAATCCATGAGAGTTGGGAATTAGGAGGGGAGGGTCGTCGCTTGCACTGCGAGGACAGACGAGCACTCACAGTTCAAGGTTGTCATTTTGGAGATAGGTAGTTGAGGACTTCGGTATAGAAGAGACAAGATGTATTCTCAAATAAGATGCTTTGAAGTTGAGAGATGTAAGTGTAGGAAGTAGATTCTTTTGGAGCAAGTAAGCCTCGTTTTATGGCATGGAGCTGGGCTAGGCTGGCCTTTTCAACCCCTAAGTACCGTCACCGGACAAGTCCATAGTCAATCCGTGGTGAGGTACGAAGTGACGTCGTTATGATCGAAAGACACGAGAAGCACAGCAAGATGGAAGACGACCTTGAGCCTACTTTGTACGGTAGTGCTCTATCATGACATCATACAATACTTCCAGTGGGTGCAGGATTATTACGTACTTGGCGGAGGGTTGCCGCAATCATACTAGTGCCTGGATCGTTCAGTACCCAGCAGTAGATCTTTACTGCTTGCACCTTGAAGAGTTACGTCGTGGCAGTATCCACAATCATACTTACAACCTACAGGCATTCTTTGATGCCGGCTAATCTTAATATTTGCACATTTTTGTAAATTTATAAAAAGAATTAAGCTCGTATCTCGTACCTTGTTCGCTTGGCCCGTAGTCCCTTTGTTTAACTCATATCCTAGATAGTACTCGCTGCTGAGCACTTCGAACTACTTCTAGACCAGAATGAACAACTGGAACCTAATGAAGGTGACATTACTGGTGTCCTAGTATATATACTTTCAACAGTTATATACTTCAAGTTTGAGATATAACTTCTTGAATCATAATGGCACATTCTACATCCATATCTGCGTGTTTTTGATCATGAGTTCTAGGGTGCGCCTTCATGTTTATTACTAATAGTTATTTCCCAAGTACGCTTACTATCAGACAAGAACACGGTTGTGAATAAGTAAGTTATCATCTTTTCCGGTGTTGCTGAACACCCCTACTGCCGGCGGCTCTGTCAATTATTCCCACGTCTTCCTCTTTTCTCCCACCCCCACAATTTATTCTTGCCCTTTCTTTTTTCCATTGATACCAGCTATATAGGTTCCTCGGCAACTATTATTCACCAAAGACGGACTTATTATTCAACCCCACCAATGATGGTCGAATCCTTTGGTGCATTGTAAAAGTGTGACAACTCGTACTAAATGGGTGATTCCAGACATTAGGTAGAAAACCGATGGGGCAAAGTAGAGCGGGAAAAAAAATTGATTGAGACTAGAACTAACGACCCCGTACCTCCCAGTTCGACCCAAAGAAAAGAACAAGTTCATTATAATTAAGTGTGCTTCCACCTGAGTTACTCTCCAAACGTCCAAAGTTGCTTCATTCTATACTTCGGCATCAAGAGTTGGTTAACGCTGTGTGCTGCAACAGATTATCATCATAATAAATGGAAGATCCCGGTTCAATGCCAGCTGCAATCGACATGAATGATTCAATAGACATCGATGAATCATTGATCCCGGTTAGGGATTTTAAGCCCGCCAGTCAGAGCACCATCTCTTTTGATGGGATGTTATCGAACCCTCTACTTCTTCAGGAAGACCTAAAGGAGGGGTGTGGAGGCCAGCTATGGCCAGCGGGGATGGTCCTGTCAAAGTACTTGCTACGCCAACATCACTCTAGCTTTCTCGGTAAAACAATGTCCGTTGCCCTATGACCCAGTTTTGTCCTCACCTGCAACCTGCCCTTCTTGTGCCTGGTATGCGGGTAATTGACCCCTGCTAATTGTTGGTTAGAGTTGAACTTGGAGCCGGCGGCGGTCTCGTTGGCCTTGCGCTTGCGCGCAAATGTCACCCTGAGGTGCCACGAATTTACATTACGGATCAAGCTCCCATGTTGCCCCTGATGAAAACGAATATCAAGCTCAACAATCTTTCTTCTACAGTCGAAGCTACAGTACTAAACTGGGGAGACTCCCTCCCAGACTGCATTCCAAAGCATCCCGCAATTATCCTCGCCGCTGACTGTGTTTACTTTGAGCCCGCCTTCCCGCTACTAATCTCGACCTTGAACGATCTTCTTGGTCCAGACTCTATCTGTTACTTCTGCTTTAAGAGGCGTAGAAGAGCAGACCTCCGTTTCATGAAACAGGCAAGGAAGATGTTTGATGTGGACGAAATCCGGGATGACCCTGATGCGGAGACATACCGGCGCGAGAACATTTTCCTCTACCAGATACGGTCGAAGTCGGACAAGAGGGGTGTCTAGGAAAGTCTAGCTACAGAACAAAACTAAAACTACTAGGGAAAGACGTATGCGAATCTATCGAAATATGCTTGGCTTTGGTACATAGATCCAATTTGTAACCGCACTGAAATCTAAAGTTTGAGCACATGGCCACCTTCCTTCACGGCTTCTTTGATTTTACCGCCATTGATATTTGTCACTTCGCCCTGCTTCCCGATCAATTTGACTCCACCCTTCTTCAAGTCCGAAATGAGCTGCTGGTTTTCGGCCGCTTTCCCTGTCTTCTGGGATTTTGCGGTGCTAGCGATTTGCTTTTTGTGCTCTCGACGCAACCTAGCCTTTTGTTCCCTGGTCATCTCCTCTTTGGCGATTGCTGTTCCATTCTTCAAGATCATTTCACCAGCGACCCTGTTATCGTCGCCAGGTGCGTAGATCTCCTGCGGCGCAAGGGTTGCCGTCCCATTTACAGCGTTGCTAGCTGTCGGCTGGGCATCCTCCATTGTAATTGTTGCCACATCGGTGACAACATTGATGCTTGCCTGAGGAGCCTTGGGCTTGTAATGCCAGTTCGAGAGAGTATCTAATTGAGAGCTGATCTCTTTCCATAGGCTTGTTACAGTAGCATGCTCACGGATCAACTTCTGATTTTTAGGGTCAACGAAGTTTGGATCGGTAGCACGAAGATGGTCAGCCTCATATAATTCAGCAAGGCTTTGCTGGGGTTTGGTGTCTTCCAGCTCAGGACGGACTCCCCGCGCCCTCTGTGCGTCGGAAACACCAGGGCGCCGACGTATTACTTCGTCAAATTGTTTGGCAAGGATGCGACGCTTGACAAGCTCTTCAATATCCTCTGACAACTCTGCCGTGACGACTGGCACGGGCTTTCCGATCCTTTCGAAATCCAGGTCTTCCTCAATAAGTGAGTTCACAGGCCTTTCGACAGCCCTGGCTTCACCAGCTAGCATCCATTCCTTCTTGGCAACGTTTGCAGCCTCCAAGCGGCGAATCTCATCAGCAATGCGAGCACGCTGCTTCTCATGACTTGAAGAATTGGTCTGAGATCCCCGCGCTACTTCATGTTCATCACTATCCTCACCGGAAAGCTCATCTTCAAAAAGATCACGGCGAACATCAGCCATGGCGCGATCAACGTCGTCGTTGGTAATGGCAAGATCGGGCTGAGTTTTAGGAAGGGAGCGTGTCTTTTTGCGTGTAACTTTACGTGGAGGTGGAGCGAAGAAGTCAGAATACTTTATGTCGCTGGTGTTCATCCAACCTTCGCCACCAGAATTTGCCGCATAGACATCATCTGCGTCCATATCGGAGTCGTCCTCAAAGCCTGCATCACCAAAGGTTGGTCCTTCCTCTTCACTGTCGGAAATATCCTCGTCATCATTCCCCTCAGAGTGCTCCCGTGGCATGTCTCTCTTCGATAGAGACACTGACCCTGCTGTAGTTAAAGGATTTGCGTGCCAATCGATTTCATCATCCTCGCTCTCAGAGTCGTTATCTGGGCCGCCACTAACGTCCTGTCTTTCAAGTAGTTCCGATTGCTTGTTGAAATCATCTATCGAGAAGAACCCATCATTCAGGCCAAAAGGATCCTCCACATATGTTTCTTGTTCACCGTCGTCGATATCGCTTCCAGAATTGTTGTCGGATAATTTCTCAATGTCTTCTTCGACGTCCGAATCATTATGGGAAGTTTGAGAGTGAGCGTGTACTGAACTAAGGTCGTCATCGTCATCATCGATACTCGATCCGGTGAGATCGGCCTCTGACTGGGAGTCCACGTTGCTGCCCTCGGATCCGGTGTCATCGAGTGCCACATTATGATTTGAGGTCAGGGACCGCTCGTGTGGCTTGGACACTGCAGACCACCAAGTAAAATCCCGCTCAACCTCACCACCGGAAGAATCAAGAATTCTCAAGGCTTGTTGCCATATCTGGTCAGAAGTGAAGCCGTCGACATAGAGTTGCTTGAGGTGTAGGACCTGATTTGTAGAATCTTCCTCAGCTTCGGATCTTTTGCGCTTTCTATTCCTGCGTTGGCGCGCACATTGGGAATCGCCGACCGACGAGGCTAGCGAATCTAAATAGTACTTCACAGAGCCGGTAATTGTTGTTTTCAACTCCGTCGTGGGTTGGAGGAAAATCCAGGGAGTCGTCAATCCGGATTTGAATGAAGAAATTGGTTCATGAGTTGAGACTTCAGGACGAACTCCAGAGTGATCGGAAACGAAGTTCTTCATGGCGTGATACACGCCTGAGATGAGACAGCCGTCTCAAAGAAAAAGAGATGGAAAGTGAGGTAGAAAAAAAAATTCGAAAGCCTTAAATGGTAGGTGCAGAGAGATGAGCCTGATATTCTGACCTAGTGGTGGACACTTCAGAGATAATGGCTTGCGGAAGCCGAAAGTCGGGAAAAAAAAAAAAAAAGTTAACAAAAGTGAAAGGGGAACTAAGATAATCAATTACTTTGGGTCATAAAAGTGGGGACACTGGAAAGAAGGTAAGCTCGGGCCATGGCCATCTCCTTTGGCCGTCTCACTACAAAATGCTTTTTGTGACGGATGGTGCGTTGCATGGCAGATCTTCTCGTATAGCAGACAAATGTGGGCATATGAGCCGTGCATATCTATATAGAAGATGGGTACTCTGTCTTATACTGATAAAGTTGAGGATTCCTACTTATCGTTGGTTTGGTACACGAAAGACTATGCTTACCGACCTCTATCATGTGCCAATCATGGCCTAAAGCATGCGTGAAATACTGTTTGCAAAACATGTTCCAAACAAGAATAACCCTGCCGAACGTATGCAAGTCTGCAGAGAGGCCCATAAGATTTCAATTCCTCTAGTTGGATAGATACTACCGCTATTGATGACTTGCGATATGAGAATGGTGGGCATACTTTACTCTATATGACCCCCGCGGAAAGATAACACAACTAGAAAAGCCATTTCCACTCTCAGTGGTGAATCGAACTCCTTTCACGTATCAGCATGCCAGAAACCTGCGTCCCTAGTATTGATGATAAGAGACATGTCGTAGTATAGTTCTTCACCTTGCAGACTCTAGGTATATTTGAACAGGCGAAAAAGCATTCTAGCAATTAGTTGCACTCTTTGCATGCAAACAGTGGTAATGATTCGATCTGTTGACATATTATTAACACTACGACACGATACAGTCTACATATGAGATATTTGAGTGTGAGCCGTACAAGAGCGCAGAATATCAATGTAGATTTGCAGCCAAGTCCCTAACCCCGTTCTAATATACCTAGGAAAGTGGCTTGCAGTTATTGCATACAATACATGTTGGCCGGGTTTCCTTGCTCAACCATGAACATGACACACATGGTATGCCTGTTGAAAGTTAAGCCTCCACTTCCCTTTTCTCCCTCCCCTTATCAATTGCGCGCCGGTAGTGTTCGGTAATGCACGAGAGCACATACTTGATTTCCAGGATGGGACTTCTAATGATGTCTACATCCGAACCTGTCCGTTTTAACCCTTTTGAGTAACATAGGCAGGGAGTAATTCCAAGTTGAGCTTAACGGCGGTACCACATGCGGGTGATCCTTGTGTGCCGCATCTTCTTTTGGAGTTGAAAGATTCCGTACATCAATGCTTCGGAGGTTGGCGGACCTTGAGTTGTTCCCATTAGCCGACGTCATTGTAGGAATGGTAAAGGGTATACAAACATCCGGGAACATAGACATCCACGGGTACGATTCTATCGCATCCGCGAACAACAGAATAACTGTAATGGTAATAACCACCACCATTTGCACAACTTCCCATACTGACGACCCAACGAGGGTCAGGCATTTGGTCATACACCTGTCTGAGAGCGGGAGCCATCTTATTTGTCAATGTGCCTGCCACGATCATCACATCCGATTGCCGCGGTGATGCTCTGAAAATGATTCCAAGGCGATCCTGGTCATATCTGGGGGTCGAAAGATGCATCATCTCAACTGCACAGCAGGCGAGTCCAAAGGTCATGGGCCACAAAGAACTTTGGCGGGCCCAGTTAGCGACTTGGTCAAGCGTGGTACTACATATGAATCAGTATAAAGTACCCATCTCATGCGTCTCAGGCAACAAACAGGACATATTGCATAGCACCCTCCTTTTTCTCCTGGCTCGGTAAGGGCACCTCTTTCCGCACCTTTCCAGAAGCAGTGAGCGCTTGGCCAGGCTGTCCCCGCTGTTCGATTGCTGTTGCCGACTTAATTGAAGAGGTCGAAAGGAACGAAACTGGCAGAATTCGAAAATGGCAAGATGTGATACGCGGTCGCACTACACGAGTTCAGCAACTTAGTAGCAACAATTGGAGAACACATACCATGAAGAGCGCTTGGGATGGCGCCTGGAATGGCGCGACCGGTGAGAGGCAGCATGGCTGTATCGCTCCCAGTAACAATGTGCACAGAGATGAAAGAAGAGACCTTGCGTACAAGACCTGTATGAACTGTCAGAAGAGTGGAGGCTTGTAGTCCAGTCTGTCAATGGTGGCAAGATATTATCAGGATAGTCGAGGCTCAAATTAAGAGTATCATTCTGCACTATTGGTACTAATGGGACGCAATTCCTGTAAGTTACTGTAACGAAACATAATTGAGTTCGTCGAACCCAGTGTCTTGCATTTACTCCGTGTATAATACCGTATTGGCACGTGAGCCACGGACAACCGGCTAACAATGTGCTAGTGTAAGTTAGATTCTGAAGAGCTTCATTGGCTGGAGTCATCAAAGCTCGGTATTCGAATCCCTTCCCTTATCTGGACAGCGACATGGATCTCATCGCTGCGTGGAGCAAAGTACTGTAGATAGATGGGTGCAGGAAAAGGGCATCCCGTAACAGTAACACCAATAGTTCCATAGTTCCACACTATTGATAGGTGACCTAGCAGCCTGGGTTGTATGAAAAATGATGCCTTGCTACAACGGGTGTATCTCAATACGAGACTCACAATGTGGCTCTCTTTCAAATCAATAACATATAGAACAACGTCGAACAACACAGCAAGCATATATAGATTAAGATGTTGGTAATGGCCTTGAACGGATTCCATGTAATTTTGAAGATGTATAAAGTCAACGTATAATGGAATCCACAAGTGGACCAGCTACAATTACTTATTATCCTATGTTCGAACTTGGAGGACTTAACCAGACTGACTTCCAAATCATATGTACCGTGTAGTTGAAACTATGAAGATCTCCTGAGTCAAATTCTTCCTGTGTAGAGATGAATATTATGCAATGGTAAGGGTGTATTTATTTGGGGGGAAACTTTTACCGAAGATGTGACAACTACATTGATACTTCTGTCTTTGAATTAGAATGATGGTCCAGGTGTACATATCAAGAAATGCATCTCTTTACCAGTGAGGAATATCTAAAGAGGTGGCTCGAACGTGTGGCTGATCCGCATGTGGATTACGTTAGTGAACTAGTAGTAGTAACTATGGGGGTGTTCATAGGTGGGTTAGGTATCGTTGACATAACTGGCTCAGCGCCTAGGTTTACTACTAATATCTTCTCCGAAACACACAAGCCAGGAGATCTTGAGTCCCAAGAACGATGAAATTGATGATTTTTCTTTGAAATCAGCGGGATTGATTTCTTCAGCAGGCCATAACTGACCTGGAGCTATGGCTTTGCCTAAGATTGCCTGTATCGGCGTCATTGGGAAAGCTGTGAGTCTTCATATCCTTCATCTGCTGCGCCAGTCTTAATGTAGGAATCAGGATAATCCACTCCACGTGTCGCTGTTCCCTCCCTATGTGGATTCCACTATCGAGTTCTCTTTTATATTGAATTCCTGCCTTGATATCTTTGAAATACGCCGCAAACAGACGTCAATTGACCAAGATCTTGGTCTTTTGCAGGCTGTGGACGAGAGACTTGCAGCATATGGCTGGCTTTCTACTACGGGGGTAAAATTCCTAGTTATAGTTGACTTGATCGGGCAGCCCACCAGTGATGAAGATCCGAAAGGTTCCACCAAGTCGGGTTTAAGGGAATTCGACCTAAAAACAGTACGTTTTAGTGTTTTTCTCCTGCATTCGAAGTTCTACATGTTGAACAACCCACAAGATCTTTGGCTTCAACACTAATGCTGCCCACCCTACAGGTTTTCCGAACTCTCCAAACAGCATATGTGCAGTTGCTACAGAATCCGTTTTATCGACCAGACGAGCACCTAGCCACAGCGAAAGCCGTGCCATCGTGCAGTTCGCAGATCACAGATCAAAGGTTCATAAACGAGGTCAACCGAATTGGAAACTCATGGGTTCCGACTGTAGCCTCCCTTTAAAAGAGCCATGAACCCATTGCCATGTGGCAAATAACCTACCCGTCTACACACTATCTTCGAAGAGTCTTGATTGTTGAAGATCACTTGTACTTTTGATGACGATCACCCTTGGTATCCTCCGATTATCATGGGTATAACACGTACAGGAATCGGTATAGCATTCTCTAATGTACGGCACTTGTAGGAGACATCTATCGATCGCAAAGTATCAGTTGATAATTTTCGATGTTGACCCAGTGCTTTGTGTAATTCTACATTGTGTACTATGAGAAGAGTTCAATGCGTGATTAAAGGATCGAGGAGTCAAGTCGATTTGACCAATCTGGTTATTATGAGATGGGTATATAGTGAAAACACAGTTTGTGGGGCGAAGCATCTCGCACGAGTCATACATTTCGATCGTGTGGAGGGTCACTCTCAGTCTTGTCCAACGCAGAAAGGACATTTGCGATCTCCAGGGGGTCAGATATAGACCAAACACCGCCGCCTTCCACCATAACCTTACCGACCTCTTTCCCAACCAGATTTCTACCGACTTTCCCAGGTCCGATGCCAATCCAGCGTGTTACTGCATGCGTCTGATCTAGGTATCGAATACTGTCCCACCATTTTACCGTATCGACACACTGCTGTGATAATAGAAACCTGAGCTCTTCCTTGGAATTGAACGGTAAGCCCGAAACGTTGGAGATACATGGCATTCGTGCTGGGAAATTGATATTCATATGTTCAAGGGCACTTTTCATGTAGTTGGCTGCTGGTATCATAATAGGACTGTGAAAGGGACTTTCGCATCTCAGTCTCACCGCACGGGGATCGTGTCCTCCAAATTGACGAAGCTGGACAAGCAGAGCTCTTATTTTTGAAATGTTGCCGCTCAGTACAATCTGATTCCTTGAATTGATATTTGCCACCATGACTTGTTGAAATGCATTATACCATTGGCTCGAATCATCTTTCAGACTCGATGGGCCAAGTCCAATGAAATCGTAAATGGTAGAAAGCAATTCACTCATGTGGTCAGGCTCACAGACAAGTGCTATCATGCCAAATTCATCGCCTGATCTCTTAATAGCAGCCCGCGTGCACTCAGACATTATCTCTGCACGCCGTCTCACCAACTTCAGTGCATCGCTGAAATCGATATAACCTCCAGCAACAAGTGCCGAGAACTCCCCCAAGCTATGTCCGAGTGTAGCATCCACTCGTGAGCTCGTCATGAAGCCGAACTCCTCTTCAAGTATTCGAAGGATTAGTATTGAAGTTGCCATTATAGCCGGCTGACAATTTTCGGTTTTATCGAGCTCCGAATTTGGTCCTTCGGAGATGATGTGAGACAATTTGAAACCCAGGATCGAATCCATTTCATCTAGGAATATGCTGGATATTTTTGGGAACCTCTCAACCCAAGAACTCGCCATTCCCACACGCTGTACACCATGACCTACACGGTAAAGGCGTCAGAACAAAGGCGAGTTCAAGATACAGGGTATGCAAACCAGGAAAGAAGAGAGCAGTGCGCAAGGCCGTCTCTGCGGGAATGGGACTGGCATAATCTCGTTGGAAACTAGGTTTTAGCTGGGTACGACAATGAGCATGGTATCGGGGTGCTTTTATGCGAAAAGATAGTCTTGATTTCGATGGTAATGCAAGCATGTTTTGTAGGCGTTAGAAAAATTAATGCCCTCGCTGTTATTGCAGGACATAGCCTTCAGATGCCATCGGCAAATGTTAATGTTTCTTACAGATAAACTCAAGCTGCTTTCAGATGCAAGTGCAACAACAGTAGCCGCAGCACGAACAAATGGGTTCTTGTGTAATCACGTGATATTGAGTACCGACGCCCGCAGATGGTGTCAGTGATAGGCGGATTCTGTACTAACCCTGAAAATACCGGGGCTGTTGAACGCTGGGTATACGCAGGTATATGGGTATGTATTCTCTGGCTATGTATTACTGGACTGGTAACCGATAGCACAAGGATCAGAATGTAAAAACGCGATGGAAATATAATGTCTACATAGTATCACAATCATTTCTGGAATTTCATGTACTAACAGATATAGTACTATCCAACAAGTATGAACAGGGATTGAAGGGTGTTTACATCACTAATTAGGTAGGTGCGATTCTGTTTAGGGGAACTGGCTCTGCAGGTATCTATGGGGGTCTGGGATCCTATCAGAACTGCTGACCGCCTTCGGAGTGAATTACCTCCATACCTACCTATCATTATCGCTATTTAAAATAATATATTGTTTACATATAAAAATTCATCTCATTCTCCCTCACGACAGTGGCGTGCTACAATTACTTTTCAGATGCGCGCTTCTGGGCCAAGAAACCTACACAGGGTCTTTTTAGTACAAAATTAGCTTGTGCCTGGTTCTAAAAGATGTTTGTACCTAAGACGCTTTCATCCGCAGCTTCTCAGCGCAACCCCCGGAGGCGTCAACGTACGAACTCAGACGAATCACCAAAGCCTCCAAGTGCGAAAAGACAAAGATCTAATCTTCGTCAAAAAGACTTAGAGCCAACGTCTCAAAATCTGAACAATAATCATACCAAGATCGACTTTCAGGAACGCCAGCCGTCAACATCTAACGAAGGTGTCGCAATTTCAGAAACTGCTCATTTCCACAGAAATATTCCTATACGAGCAGTCAAAAGGCCTGAGAAGCGCGAGGATGAAGGCGAAGGAACAGTGGTGCTTGTAAGTGGTTCTCGATCACTATCCAGTCTACAAGATCCTTGAATCACCCATCTGACATAGGCTTATGTGTAGTCAAAAACGGAGTTCTACACCGTCACCCAGCTACCCACTCTGCCAGACCAGGTGCTTGGTTTACAAACAGGCGAGTACTGCTACCCCCTTCGCCGTCACCACTATAATAACACAGATATGCAGGGCCTTTCAGAGGCTCATTCGGAACTAGTCATGGATATGCTTTAGCTTTAACCAAATCGCATGCCATTGTCTGGGCATATTCGACCACAGCTCCATCGCCTTCTCCTACAGATGTTTTCACCCTTGCAATACCCGAGTCCTGCAAAGAGCCTGGTAACACTGCCCCCCTTGGGTTGCTCTTATCTACCGTTGCAGGCGGCGTTCCGGGTTTGATGGTGGTCATGCCATATACCGGAAAAATCATATACTGGGAAACCATATCAAGTGCTGCAACCTTAGCTTTCTCCAGGCAGAAGCATTCTGGCATTCAAGGCTGTATCCCCGGCTTGCTCTCGGGCGAGCACGCTACAGACGTCATCAATAGCGAGCCATCTGGTGTCATTGTTATATTCTCTACAGGAAGGGTTGCCCATATAACCATTAGAGATTGTCAAGGGAAGCCAGCAGTAACTGTCTCATTCCTGAGAAGCCCCGCAGGTGGCGGTAAACCAGGTCTACTTGGAAGCTTGAGAAATGCCCTTGGAGGTGGCTTTTACAGAAAAGACATTGCCACAGTTCGAGCGGGCGAATCCCATCAGCGTGGACAACGCGATGTCGTAATCGCTACGTCTCAAGGTCTCTTCGAAATTTGGGATACCCACTGGAACAACGGTAGCATGCTCAAACATCAGCATGATGTATCTGGTCTCTTGAGTGAAGCACTTGGGCCTCTTATCGTGGGTGAAGCCGACGATTATAGGTTAAAGGTTTTAGATTTTGTCTTGGCCGACTGCAAAAGCACCAATGCTCGTGACGGGCCCATTTCCTCGCTGATAACAGCGGTTGTGGCTTCCGTCTCACATTCTGCCCCCGGCATCGTTCGGGACATGTTTGTCGTTCAAATGCGATTTTCGGACGATGTCAAAGTCTTATCTACTAATACGATTGATTTTCATGGACTACGCACCCATCTCGACTTCCCGCGTGTCAGGTTGTTTGTACCAAGTCCAGGGCATACCGCTTTTATTGTTGTTGGGCAGTCAATTGTGTTGCTATCATTGACCATCTCCGAACACCCTACTATTACTCAGGATGCGGTTTCCGTAACTCAGCAAAGGCGGGCATTCAAGGATATTATTCCTTTGCGTTCTGGAGAGAGCTACGAGATCTTAGGAAGCGGATGTGAAAACGAGAGTGGTGAGGGCTCATTAGCCGCATGTCTGCTCATGGTTCGAGATTTTGGGATCATTCGTATTGCAGCTTTGCCGAGTGAAAGAACAAAGAGCAATGTTGATGAGGGCCGCATCACTGCGAAGCATAAAATTGAACAGGCTATATTCTATGGCACAATGACAAAAAACCCACTGAATCTTACAGGTGATGACGGAATAGGATTCCCAATCAACGAGACGGAAAATGCTGCGTTGGAAATATGCCAGGAATTAATGCGGTCTTCATCGGAGTTCATTCCATCAATTGGGATTTCCGTGGATCAAAATCTGAAACTGCGAGCGAAAGCACTCGATGACCTCGCCCTCTTGTTGACACAGCAAAATGAGACCATCCGCCGAGAAGTCTGGTGGCAATTACTTTGGAGTGCGGAGAAACTGGCTGCTCAGAGAGCTATGTGGAAGTTGGAAGACGAAGCCAGGAAATGCGCGAGCAAAAATTCAACACTTCTGGCGCACACAATCGGGTTAATGAGCGAGAAGTTCAAAACGAAGATCGAAGAGCAGACTGGTGATTGCGACCCAGTGCGCCATTGGTTTATACATGATACGTTTCAAATGGAACATATCGTGCCGTGGATCTTTAAAGCCATCAAGCCTCAAAAGGGAAGCTCTGCAAAACAGGGACGACGGATGTCGGAGCAGCTACTCGAGGCTAGTGACTTGTCCCTGGCAGTTCTGGAGACTGCGTTTCGTTATCGAGACGAAAATTCTAGCCGGTATGGTATCGGCGACGGCTATCTGGAGGACGGCATATTGACGGGTGACTACACTGGTCTTTCGGAGTTCTGGACTTCTCAGCGCTATTGTTACATCGAATTTGGACATCTGCTGGATCTGGAGCTTGATAGCTGCAGAGCTTGGATCCAGAAAGCAACGATTGGGGTTGAGCTACCTGAAACTCAAACTGTGAGAAGGATTGCCAAAAATAGTTCTAGGCAGCTTCAGATCTTAGGGCTCATGCACTGTGAACGAGTCCGTTGGCTTTCGTCCCAAGAGAATCAGAAACTTATCGACGAAAGTATTGCGACTGAACAGGCTCACATCAAGCAACGGAAATGGCAGCTATTCAAGTTGGCCGGAATAGGACATCTAGATGATGCCATTATGCTTGCCGAACAGTTCCGAGATATGGGAGCGCTCGTGGAACTCATAATTGAGCTTCAGGATCAAACCAAGAGCCTTGTGGCACATCAAGATTCGCCAAACAAAAATGCAGGTACTGACGAGAATGCATCTGAGCGGCTCAGCCAAAAGATATCCTATTACTTTGAGAAATTCGGGGAATCTTGGGCCGATTCTTTTTTCTCTCGACAGATCTCCATGGGCCAATCTGGGATACTTTTTGCGATGAAAAAGTTCCAGCCCTTCGTCACTCAGTTCTTACGGAAACACCCAGCTTACCTGCGGCTGGGCTGGATTAATGATGTGATCGGCGAGAATGACTATGAGGGCGCTGCCCGATCATTGGAGAAGCTTGCCACGAAGCATGAATCAGATATCTGGAGTCATCGTGTTGAGTTGTCTCTAGCAAAGCTTGCAAATCTTGCGGTCTGGGAGGAATCTCGAATGCCAGATAGTCTAGTCGTTCGCAAGAACGTCAGACGCTTGGAAGATTTTGCGGAGGTCGATGCTGTCCAAGAAGTGATCTTCGCCTATGTCGCGCCCGCGTTACACAATGCAATCGATCAGAAGGCGGAAATTGATATCGCGATTGAACAATTTCGTAACCCAACAGCCGCGGATAGGCCTTCATTGCATGAGATATTTAGCGAGGCTCTGGCCAAGATTGTCACTCGACAAGTTCTCAGCTCGGATGAGTTAGTCGACCTGCTAACGCACATATATTTATCCCAGGTCTCTGATCAAGGTCAGGATGAAATCGTGGGGAAACAATTTTACCTAGCTTTGCGAATTATCCGACTCTCTTACGACCAGCGAGATCTACAATATCATGCAGCACTACAGAAAATGGTGTGGAGAAGATGCATGATAGATAACAATTGGGAAAGATTGGAAGAGGCAGCTGAGGGATTGGGAATGGACACCGAAAGTTTCCTCTATGCCACAACACTCTCACGTACCCTTTGTTGGTGCCTCAGGGACGGTATGAAATTGACTAGTGGAGAATGTTCTCAAGCATCTTACTAACTCTGTTCATAGGCCTTGATGAAGATTCTAACTACCCTTCTATCTACGTCCCTAACGGCCCGCAGGACGTGTTGCTAAGCGATTCTGACGCTGATCTTATTACAACACGTTTTCCACCTGAGCGGCGTGCCCGCATCTCTCGTGATCTCGCCAGAGAAAACGAAATCCTACTTCAACAAATCGAAAAAGGAAAGCTTGATTTCTGGTTCAAGAACCTTTTTGACTCAGCCAAGACCACGCGTCAAGAGCCTTCTGGGGTTTCTACCGAAGACGTTAAGAATGGCAATGCGCATTATGAAACGCAATACGACTCATCAACCGAGAAGGCACAGCTGAGTTGGCTCTAAGATTTTAAGCATACTCAGCAATATGTGAGTGCTTGACTAGTG